GCGCTTAAAGAGGACGTTGGACAATAAACTTCATAACGTCTTTGTTCACGCCCACTGGGTCCTTCAGTGGCACAGTGATGACTCTGGCCATGTCCAAAGCGTTTTCTCGCCTCCCCGACCGGATAGTATAAGGTGTGCTCAGCTCTACGATGGAGTAAGGGTCCCCCTGGGTACTCGAGCTCTCCTCGACACTGGCAACAGTCACTTCCGAATAGATTGCGAAATGTACTCTTGGCCAATTCGGGTGGATGAAAGTAGTACTGATGGTGACTGCAGTGGCGGCAACAATACTCCTCTGTTGAGTTCAAGGGACTTCTACAGCCGCTCTGATTGCTAAGATCGTCGTGTGACTGGTTCTGACTATAATTTCGATTATTGCTGCATGAGTCGGACGATCCACAGCGGCCGTAGGACGAACACTGGTGCTGAGGACTCTTGTTGCCAAGCGATGGCAGCGGTGATCGAGAACACTCTCGAGATCGTCGTACTGCACCAGGCGGTGGGTAGATTCCACTTTGTGGGGAGGGGGAACCACCATGGGCTGCATAGGAATACACCGGGTATCTGCCTTCTGACCGCGGTGGCACAGGCTCTTGGGAGGGTTCACAGGATGCTGTAAGGACGATGGCGGAAGAATTTTAATATGTGGTAATTCTTCTCCTTGACTGACATGCATGTCACGGTTGGTAAGACTCACGTATAATTGGGAACGACACTCAAAGAAAACCATAGAAGTGAAGCGGACGGCGACCGAAATTTACAAAACTTCAAGTCATCTAAATAAGATTTACTAAGAGCAAAATCTTTGGAATACCGTCCTGTGGTTGTTGGGGACAAAGGCCGTCGGTGGAATGCGAAAGTTGTGATGTTGCTGGTGAAGCGATGAGGACGTCTGAAGTGCAAAAAGAACTCCGTGTACAACCCGAGACAGTGTACTAACAAGGGAACTGGATATGAAGGTCTTAAGGCAGGGACGGCAGGTGCATCAGCGGCATGGGTGTCTATGCATGAAGCTGACTCCCTAACGGTGCAACGGACGATAATCTTACGAGGGATTAGATGCCGTCGAGGTCAAAGACGCCTAACTTGCGATTGCCGCAATGGAAGAACACCTTTGAAGAACTCCGGGCTAAACTACTTCGTCTTTGAACACGCGATCAGTGACTGTCTTAGTTACCATGACGCGGCAGTTGCTTGAAGTTAAGTGTTTCTGATTATCCGGAAGGAAGCGGGCGCACATCGTTGCCTTTTAAATTCAGGACACATGCTATGTACCCTGTGTAGGCTGCCACGCAACCCGTAACCAAGGTATTTTTCAAAATAAGTCCGGAAAGAGAAGCAACATATAGCAACATACGACACCATCGCAACAAAAGTAAGAGAGGAGGAGAACCAAATCCGAAAATTCCACATTAAGCTTAAGAGGACTTCAACTTCACCGGGAAGATGGTCGATAAGTTCTGACCTTAGGGTGTGGGCGGTAGGAACAGATTTAAGGTCAACCTGCCCTGTAAACACCATAATCGGCCGGTCTCAACTTTCCGTTCAACTTTTAAAATGAAACACTATACGCACGTCATAAACCCTGCCTAACGACCGATATGTAGGCAATATGTTTGGATGAATATCGCACTAATTTTTATAATAACAAAAAGTTGCAACGCTCTACAGTCTTGACGATTGGCTATTGACCCAACAATGTTGAAAAGATGTTAAAATCTGATGATCAGAAACGGCCAATTGTTACCCACTTGGTTACAGAATCATTCGTCCTGTGCGCCAAACCGTAATCCATGTTGTTCGGTGGCATCGGATGCGCGGTATAAGTGAAATAGAAGAATGGGACAGCATCGGGAGTAACGGGACGATCGATTTAACGCAGATTTCTTCAGATGACTGCACATGCAATTTAAACACCACAAAGCCGGCTCCACAGCTTACCACTGGCCAGAGTGATGTCCGCGACATCCTGAAAATAGTCCACAGAGTCCATCTGCTTAATCCAGAATTGCCGCAACTTCAGCAATTCTTCCCTTAGTCTATCGCGAGCTGCCGTCCATGCGTCTGCAGTCTCTTGACAGGGATTGACTTCCCATTCTTCAAAGCAGGCTTGCTTCTCACGTTTGGCATCCAGACATTCCATGTTCATCCAAGGTGTTTTTTCCAGTTCCGCTAGAACAGAATTTTAGCTTAAGACACGGAAGGTATTTTGACGCTGGAGAATGAGCAGTTACAAGAGAGCAAGTAGAGGAAGGAACGGACAGCCCGCCAACAAGATGAACAAAGAAACAAAACGGCCAGCGACTCCTCGTTCTCATTCTTTTAATGCTGATTTAACAGATTCCTTTGGGAAAGTTTAGGGGATCACTGGGAAGTCATGAGGTGGTGTCTTGACACCGGCTCTCAGCGTTCCTAGCAAGAAGAGTAAACATTTAATGTAGTGAGCTGAGAGGACATCAATAAAATTACTTCAGCAGTCCTCTTACAACATCTTTTTGATGACAAAATGCAAGCAGTTCGCCTCTTCCCCACACATTGGACAGCCTATTGCTGGGCATTTTATGACAAAGAAAGGTGACGGTATGGTATGCAGTCGCACCTAATCGTTATTTCTAAACTCGGCTACTTATTATGTTTGGGTAGGTGTGGCTCGGTAAGGTTAACACAATGGTAAAGGTGATACTAGCGGTTAAGGTGGGGTTTAGGATTAATTTGGGGCACAGAACTTCAAGGCTAAGAGCCTTGAACCTTAAGGTTAGGGTAAGTGCTCGGGTTTCAAGGTTAGGATTAAGACTAGAGGTCTAAAGGTAGGGTTAGTGCCTGGTTTCTAAGGTTGGGATTAGTGTTTTAAGTCTAGGGTTTCGAAATTAGGGTTTTTGGGTTAGGGTCATGGATTTAAGTTTGGGGTTAGGACTTTAAGATCAGGGTTAGGGCTTCACAGCTAGGTTGAGGATAAGTGTTTTAGAAGCAGGGTAGGGGCTTTAAGGTCAAGGCTAGGTTTTGTGGGTCAAGGTCGGGATTAGGGTCTCCAGATTAGCTTTAAGGGTTAAGACTAGCTCAGGAAGACACGCATAACGGACCCCATGCCGACTGCTAACTTGTATTTGCCGCGTTTGTGAATTATTTTCTTCGTATCTTTCCTCAATATCACCTTTTGTATGTTACTTTTTTGCCCGTTCTGCTCCTGTTTTGTTTTCAATAGGCGTATTTTTCCATCCTTCGGACATTTGGACGTTTGAATTGATTTGAACTTGCCAGATGCCTTCGACTAGCCAATTTCGTTTTTTGCAGATCTTAAATTACGCGCTCGCACATTTAAACAATGCGTAAACAATGGCGTAAATGCAATTTTGATATTTTTCTCCGCAGAGTATGTTGTCTACCGCCTCCCTGAGCTCCACCCATAAGACCCTCTATCACCACCATTTCCGTATCACGGACTTCCTTGTTTCTCGTTTTGCGAGGCTGCATACGAAACCGTTGCCAGGAAGGGGATAAGTAGGGAAGCGTGCGTTATCATAGAACAGAGGATGTGTACATCAAATTTTCGCACCAAAAGTCGCCTTACTTCACTCTCATCTCACCACCAAATCATCCAGAAGGAAAGATTCACCATCGCCCGAAAGTGACTGCCCCGTCTGACGTCCGACCAGTCAGAATATACGCACCTTCAGTGTCACAGGCGGTTAGTAATGTATCAGTGTCACTAAGGAAGCGACCTTAGACAGACGCGTCGAGTAGGGGAAGGACGGCGGATAAAATATTGCCGGTTCGCCAATCGCAATCAACGATGGCTTGTGACGGCTTGGACAATGGCTCCAGTGCTTTGGGGACAGGTGCATCTAAAGGCGCCAACAAAACTCCCCTGGACCAAATTCACACCGACAGTAGGGCATAGTGACGCATAGTTGTTGCTAGCTTGGTTGCTGTTGTTCGGCAGAAAGAAATATGCCTAGAAACTACGTAAAAATAGAGCGGGTGAGACAGGTCGAGGCGTGTCATTGATGTAGACTGCAAATGGATGTACGTAAGAGAAGCTGGGTTTGTTGAAAAATCGGAGGTTCTTTTAGTTGCAATGAAGTTGGAGCCACAGACACCCAGCCGGTAGGCCAGCCTGGATGCCGCAGGTTCGGAGTGTATAGGCTGAGATCACACAACTTCTAGGGTTGGACTTAGCAGTTGGTGGTGGTACGATTAATTTGAGTCTTAGCTGCATGAACTTGGACACGAAGATATCCAACGAAGGCTATCCACGCACAGAACTACTGCCCATAGTGGGATAGGTGTGGACGGACTAGTTAACGTTGACAATAATCCACAGTGTAGTGGCCATCCTGTTGGTTTTTATTACTGCTATAGTGAGCGTAGTGTCCAACAAGGCAAAGGCATGCTCTGAATATGAGTTGACAGCTGACACAGCTGAAAAAGATTCAGTCATTGGCAACGCTGTATTCAATACCCCTAGTCTCGTGTGCTTGTTTTTTCTTGACCTACAGCACAGCTTAACCATCGCAAGCGAAGAGTTCCACCACAGTCCTAAAGAAAACTAAGTGGTGACTTGCGCGTGGATTTGTTTATGGAGAGGTAGACCCACACTATACCGAGCTCACTCACCACTTTCACACCCAGTTTGCTCAAATGACAAGGGCAAGTTAAGACGACTGGAAATGGGTGTGAAAGCAGTGACTGATGAAGTTAAATAGCCCGCCCAAGCGTGCCATACAAGACCTAGCCCCCAAACTCCGCATAAACCGCGCCTCAAAGAAAGAGGGCTGCCTCGGGTCTGAAGAAGGTGAAACTGCCATTAAGGTCACATCAGGAAAGGAGTCTTGCAGAATGGCTTTCAGACCAAATGAAAACCAGATAATTCCGACAATTTAAGGGCGCATTTTACTGCTTGTGGTGAGAGCAATAAACGCTATATGCAAGCTCGACCAAGCTAACTCGCCTGTCCCCCTCTCGCTCTCCCCACGTGCCCCCTCCCTGTCCGAGCAAAGCTGACTAGGTATAAGAATGGGTGTAGTGGTTGGTGTGGCGTGGAACCTCCGTCTATGTCCTCCATATACAAGGTCTAATTCCACGTATGAGAGAAACTTCGCAAAGGTCATAACACGGAGCCATTACACTTGGTCATCGTTCCAAAGGACGATCGAGCTATTGCGTCCGCTGGCGACCCTTTAACTCACGATTTTTAGCGCGAGGTGATAGTTTTAGGCGTGTAGGATTTATTATAATGAGGAATGCCTTGACTTGCCATGAGGAAGGGCACTTCAAGACCAGCCTCATTCCCGCTTCTCTCCCAAATACCAGTGACCTGTTCAAGCGTGTAAATAACACGCGATAGCGGACACGCAAGATTAGGCAAGATCGCTGGGCCCTAAGACAAGTTCTTACAACTGGTTTCGCGGAACTCTTAGGACCAATAGGCTATTATCAGGATTTGTCCAAGTTAGGTCTGGTTCGTGTCGTGGCACGAGAGGCCGCGGCGAATAACCGGTTAGCCCCTGCGTCAAATATCATCTTTTGTCAACTTGACTCGGTCTAACAGCTGGCACACGATGGAAGAGGACTGGAATTGATGTTGTGCATGTCTATCTCGCAGTAGTTCAACGCACAACTGGACCACTGCCATCACCCCATTGTTTTGTTGTCAAAATCCTGGTCATTTGTGTGTGGACCAGGGGGTGTGGAGTGGAGCGCCAAGGCGAGGATCCGTCCGATCCATCCACCTGCGGCCTCCCTCGTCTCCGGTCTTCTTGACTTGGTCTTGACACCGGGCTCAGGCGGGGGAGGAGGAGAGAGTGTAGGTAGATGCTACGCAAGTCTACTGGCACTATAAACCCCTGCGTAAGTCGCCGTCCCTGCTCCCACCATGCAGTCTGTGGGGCACACGGTGGACATCGTCGAAATCGACGGTCGAACTGTCGAGTTCAACGCACAGACAAATCAAGGGCAGGCAACATAAACAACGACAATCCTCGTCGCCCTTTCTTCTGCATTATATCACAGGCTGCTAGTCACTCCGCTCACTTTGACAGCCTGAAATGTTCGTTCTATTTTAGACAATCCGAGGGACAACTGGGTAAAAAGGAGGACAGCGATAGCCGGTCGGGAACTGGCCCGCAACAAGGTGAAGCTCGCTGCTTTTAGCGACCTCCAATTCTCCCAACAAGGCCAACTGCAGGAGGGCACTGGTTAAACCTTCTTCTGGGGCAGCCACCCAAAGGCAGGGCGGCGCGATGCCGGCGTCGCCTCTGACATCCGGAAGGATCCCGTGGCACGACTGCCCTGTCTGCCGCAGGGCGTCAACGACCGGCCCATGATCTTGAGCCTGCCTCTTCGGGGAACCGAATTCGCCACCGTCGTCAGCGTGTACACTCCCCCAACAATCGAATCCGAAGAGGTGAGGAACAAGTTTTACAAAGAACTGCACACCCTCCTGGCGACTATGTTGAAGGCAGACAAGGTGGTTGTCCTTGATGACTTAAATGCCCGCGTCGGGACTGACCAGTGTCTGGGAGTGCTGGGCCTCATGGACTCCGCGGCTGAAACGATAACAACCACTTTCGTTGAGCCTTCGCAGAACACCGCCTCCTCCTCACCAACACCTTCCTATGTGGGAGGTAACCCGAAAGCATTCACGATCGCAGCCCTGACACCTGCTGGACTACGTTCTTGCCAGGAGGCGAGATCGAAAAGACGTACTAGTGATCAAGGCGATCTGCAAAAGCTGCGGCTGGGCCGATTACCGCCTCATCTCAAAATGAGGCCCAGACTTCAACCTAGCAGGAGACCACAAGGTTGGAGACCACAGGTAAGTTAAATGCTTAAGCAGCTCACTAAGGGTGCAACAGACCAGACGCAGATAGTTGTTTCACGGTCGTTACTAACCATCAGTACGTCATAGGCTGCTTATGTATTATACATGGTATGTGCTCTATGACAAAGTTCATTGTCGTCAGTAGCAAGCTGGCGGGCGGACAGAATGGGATCGAGTTCCTAGCCACAACAGTGAGGGTCAGACGCTTACTTGGCAAGTTAGATGCTATTCTTTTGAATCTTCCTGCCCACCACTTCGATTTCAGCAATCAATTGGCTCGGTGACCGGAAGAATTGCAGGCTGCGGGCGACAATATCGCCGTGGATGCACGGTTATGTTAACTACGGAACGTGACCCACTTTACCGCTCTGTAAGTCCTCCATCATGCACATCGTCGACACCAAGACTGCTCTGACGACGGCACATAAACCTAAAATCCACTCGCCCAGAAGCACAGACTGCACAAAACCTACATAAACGGGCGGAGACAAGCAAAACGACCTTTATCAGACGTCGCCGCCTAGTGCAGCAACGACTGGAGAAGAGGTGGGGCGCCTGGATGGCACGCAAAGCCAAAGAAATCCAGGTGTATGCGGAGCGCCAGGGAAGGAAGCATTTATCCGCCTCCATCATGGAAATCTACGGTCCTTGCATACATGCAATCACGCCCCTACTCAGCTCCGATAGAACCAAACTCTTGACGGAAAAATCGCATATTCTGAAGCGCTGGACCGAGTACTTCAGAACCGTCCCAAACCGCCCATCCACGATATTCGACGCTGACATCGACCGACTCCCACAATTGGAAACCAATGACGGTATGTTCCATCCGCTTTCCCTCCCAGAAACAACCAAAGCCATGCAACAGACCTCCAGCGAGAAAGCACGTGGATCCGACCCCATCGCGACTGAAGTCAACAAACACGGCGGCTCCCTGACTGATGGACAAACTCACGCCACTGTTCCAGGATATCTGAAGTAAGGGACAAGTTCCATCAGATTTCATGGACGCGACCATCATCCATCTTTACTAGTCGGACGGGAACAGGCAACTCTGTGATAATCGAATGGGAATCTTGCAGCTCAATATTGCCGGAAAGATCTTCGATCTTCGATCTTCTCAACCGTCTCAGCGGCCATTTGGAACGCGGACTTCTTCTGAAAGCCTGTGTGACTCCTAACGACAACGCGGAACAACCAACATGATCTTCGCGGCCCGCCAACGGCCTTCGTAGACCTGAAGAAAGTCTTCGAGAAAGTGAAATCGCGATGGACTCTGGAAAATGATGCAGAAATTGGGTTGTCTTGAGCGACTTGCACGTAATGTGGGTTTCACAGCGGGAAGGCGCACGTCAAGGACGATGGGTCAGTCTCAGACGCATTCGAAGTGAGAAATGAAGGGAGGCTGCGTATCCGCTCCCGCCCTCTTCAGTCTTATGTTGTCTGCAATGTTGATGGATGACTACCGTGATGAGGGTCCTGGGATCAGCATCGTTTACAGGATCGACAGCCAGCTTCTCAATACCCAACGCCGAAACGAATCTCTCCACGACTGCTGTTTATGACTTGCTCTTTGCAGATGACCGCGCAAAATCGGATGTGCAACGCGGCATAGGCCTTTTCGCTGCCGACTGTGCGCACTTCGAACTGACTATCAAAGCAGACTAAACGGTGTTCATGCATCAGCGGTAGCCTAAAACTGAATACAACGACCTTCGCGTCACCGTACACGATACCCAACTCAGAACTGTGGACAACTCTGCCTAGTTAGGCAGCAGACTCTCATGTAGTATAAAAAATTACGAAGAAGTGGCCCACCAGACCACTAAGGCTAACTAGGCCTTCGGTCGGTTGCAGGACTCAGTGTGGAATCGCTATGGCCTCCATCTCAACACCAAACCGAAAATGCACAAAGTCGTCATCGTGGCAACACAGCTATATGGAGAGGAGACAGGGACGGTCTACGAGAAACAAGCGCAGAAATCTAACCACTTCCACCCCAGCTGCTCCGGAGAATACTGATGCTGAGGTGACATGACAGGATTTCGTGCACAGAAGACCTTAAAAGGACCGAAATCCTCAGAATCCACGCCATGCTGAGGCAAATTCAGCTGCGTTGGAGGGGACCATCTCGCGAGGTTGGATGACGAGCGCCTACCCAAGCGACTCTTCTACGGTGACTTCGCTACAGATGCTCGTCGACAAGGCGGCCAAAAGGACGCTACGAGGACACCCTGAAAACATCCCTCAGGCAACTGCACATTAACCCAGAGACTTGGGAGAACCTCGCCCAAGACCTATCGGCAGTGAAGACTGGGGCAGCAATCTACGGAGCCAACCGGATCGCCGCTGTCAAGGCCAAAAGAGCGGCTCGCATGCCACAAGCGTCTTCGACCCGCAGATGTGACACCTAACTTTCCGCAACATTACAGCGCTTTCGACAGACACTTAGCGCGCGGATCGGCGACGTTAGACATCTCCAGACAAAATGCAACGACAAAGTGACAACTCCACCTGCTGCCTCCGTAAATGTTTCCATTGTCACCCTTGCACTAACCCCTAGGACGTCCACGACGGCGACCATCTCCGTCACTGGTGATAACACTCCTGATGCCTGTGGTCGTCGGTCATCGCCACCTTCATCATCCCTGCCACAAACTCTTCAAGACGACGGCAACGATGACTACAGTCTCTCCCACGCTCGCGCTGTCTCTCCCACTCGCCCTGTCAAGCATCACCTTGACCGCCACAGACTCACCACCAGCAATGCGGAGTCGACCCTCACCTGACTTTATTGCAATCGCACGTTTACATCACGCATCGGACTGATCGGTCACTCGCAAATCCATCGTGCCAAGACCACCGTACCAGTGCCAGGAGCCCCAACATACTCCGTCGTCACTGCTTTAAATGTCCACACTGCCCACGTATATTCAACCACCACATGTGCATACTTGGTCACATGCACTTTCATGCTAATTTGCGGTAAACCATCGTAGACCAGACCCCACCATGCGTCCATTACCACTACATACACCCCACACGAACCCGTCCTGCATCACCCATCGTAGGGACAAAACAGACACTTCCAATCTTCGGCTGCTTCTCCATGGCACTCTAACACATGTGAGATCTATGCAATCCACCGCGCTTTGCGTGGAATCTTGGTATGTTGTGTGGAAAACCAGGTCTCGTGTGGTACGCGACGATGTGCTGTTTTCAGCCGTCAGTCACTGTATCGAATCTCAGCATCAGTTGATCGATCGGTTTGTAAAATCGACTGGCGCACGAGAGAGGAAAGAGAGAGTGAAGTCGACTTTGGAGATTCCGTTCCCATGGCACTCAGCGCATATTCCCCACTATAAACAATCTGACACGCTTTTAAACTATCGCAGTGCCCTAAAAACGGGGCCTGGAAGGCTGCCAACAGACGGGATAACGCGGTCCTCGCGGGACGTAGTGTCAGGCTGCAATGACCTCTTAACGTGGCCTCTGTAGCACTATCACTCAGTTGAGATCCGAGCAGTCCACTTATTGTTCTGGTGAAAACCTGCCCCTTTGTGCGCGGACCACGGTGTGGTGACGCGCCTAGGTGTGGGCTCCCGTCGTCCAGCCACCTGAGTCCTCTCCTGCCTCTGGTCTTCCAGGCTCTATCTTTACATCGGATCCAGGTGCGTGATGGGAGTGCGGTAAATTCCAAGAAAGTCCACTATCACTTCAAACTAAGTCACGACGCTGCGGTGACTGAATCAACGAAGGAATCCAGCAGTTGTCTGCTTAGACGACCCGAGCGAGGCCCTATAATGATGATTCCTTCTGACGGCTCCGAAAGATGACGGAAAAGTCGACCAGGGATGACCGGAAGAAATATTGGGCTGAAATAGAAACCTCCATCGAGCAGGCCTCAAACGTTGGTGACACTCGAAAACTGTACCAAATTATCTACCAGGTTAGTGGCAAGCCATCGACACTGAGCGACTATGTTCGTAACGTGAACGGCGGCTTTATTGCTGACAATTCGGCCAAGGTAGAGCGCTGGTGTGCGCACTGCGAACATCAGCTTAACTTCGATACCTAACCAATCACGCTCTTGGTCGAGCGCAGTGGCTCACGAAGCTAAACGGCCCATCCACGTAAGCCACACAAAACCTGGTCCCCGCTTAATATGCCGTGCTTTGGCGAGAAAATTCAGCTTAGGCCGCACATGTGAGAGTGCGATAAAAGCCACGCGGAGAAGGGTCATTGGCCCTGATTCTCCGTCCTTGGGAGGACTGAGTTAGCCTGTCCGTTGGCAACCTTCTAAGTCACAACTATTAACATGTCGTGATAGATTCAAGAGCGACAGAACGACAGGAATGAGGTGAGGATGGGATCCCCAGGATCGGCCTCACTCTTCCCTACACAGCGTACTCGTCGACTGCCAGAACCTGTCAACCATCTAGTGATGAAATTGGGCGCAAAGGCTGACAGGTCTGTAACAGCCCATCCACGTGTGCCACGCTACCTGGTCAGGCACCAGGTTGTGTCAAAGGACATGCTACCTACAGACGTGAGTATCGCATGTTCTGTTCTGTGTTGGGTGTTGTGACGCAGGCTCGTGTGTGGTGTACATAGGTTCGCCAGGCTCAGTGCGATGGAGTATCAGGTGACCGACCAGGCCGATGTGTGTTGTGAAGGTGTGATCGCAATGAGGACACGTTAGAGTCGAGTCCGCACTGTTGGTGGTGAGAGAGGTGGTGATGGATGGCACCACTCACACTGGTGAGGACACCCCTGCCCACCCGTCCACCTGTAATGCGAACTCAACTTCTACCTGCCCTCACTGCAACCATGCATTCGAATTGGGCATCGGCTTGTTCTGTCACCTGCGAATTCGCCACACCGCGACCGGCGAACCAGTGCCTGGAGTCCCAATGTAGACCCGTCACACGCCTCTCCTGCCCACACTGCCCAGGGGCATTCAAACATCTTATGGGCCTATTCAGTCACGGGCGTATCCATGACAATCAACAGTGAAGCAACACAGTACAGGACCCACTATAACGCCTTGCTTTACCAGCACACATGACAGTTCGACCATCATGACCGACTACGTCCGCCATGTAGTCCAGAGCAGGGTGAGGGCAAGGACGGTGACTTGCGGGTGCGCAACATGTACCGCACTCTCTCCTCCTCCCCCACCTGGGCCCGTTGTCAAGACGAGCGGAGGTGGGAGAGGACGCGTGTGGCCGGCACGGCGAAAACCCGCACCTAGGCGAACCACTAGACCCCCTGGTCCACAAAGTACAATGACCAGGACTGGGCCAACCTTATAAGGCAACGGTGGACACTGTCGCCCGAGACGGTCGAACTGTCAGCCGTACCAAAACATTTGACTATCCATGTATCAACCGCCCTGCCCACTGTTTTCTTCTGTCGAATAGCATGACAACTTTGAAAGCATAGATATAAAGCGGAGAGAAGAAAGCATGGACTCCGTAGCTTGGACGAGCCTTTAGCAAGCTCAGTTATTCATCGTGAACGTGGTATAAACAGTTGCCCCTAATTACTTGTACTCGGTACGGCTGCGATCATGATTGGTCTGGTCAGTCTCGATGGTCCCACGAACTGTACCCCACTATGTGTGACGATCCGCGGTAGCACCTCTGAGCAGCTTAACCCGTTCTCCTTGACAGCGACGAAGACCGGGTACCGAAGGCCCAAAAACCACTTCCATGTCTTGACGGACTGTTTCAAGCCAGGTTTGAATTGGTTCCCTCTTCGGCACCTTCAAGTGGGCAACGGTGCCGGATCGAGGAAGGCAACATCGAGCTTGTGATTTAAACGACGAAAGATGTGCCAAAACCAACTCAGTCTTTCTTAAATGGCCTGGGATATCCCTGCAATGTTGTCGCAGCGAGTGCGGGCTGTCTTATTTGAGAAGAGATCAGTTTACTTCACTCGAGGGATTGTCCTCAAGCAGTGGTGGCAAAATACCTCCAATTTTTACCCGTCTTCCACGCGCACAGCTCCGCACTCGCAACCCTAGAGAAGGACCGACAGCATAGGTGCAGGTACAGGCGAATCTTTGAGGCGATGGAGATGTCACGTCGGATACATAGGCATTTTCTAAGGCTTGAAAAAAACCCGAGGAGCAACAACGATTCGGGAGGCAATGCGTCCTCACTCTGTCCATTCGGCAGCAGCATCACCTGAGATATTTGAAACTGTCTACTTCAAGCTGACAGGCACTAATTCCAGGGAGCGTTTTCTCATGGTCGATGAATTATACGGACAACTAAGGGCCCACCCTTGATCCGGTCATATAAAACCCTCTCTAGTGTCCCGGCTTCCGGTTGGTGACTGGCATGCCGTACGAACATTCAGGCCCTACGGCAGGCGCGCCACTAATCCACAACCACTCTTCAGTCTGCATCTTGAGCAGGCCTTGTCCAGCCTCGAGTTACGGCAACATCCACAAGCAGGCGCCATCTCATGTCCGTTAACAGGTGAGGCTCGTAGTCGTACGACAACGGACCAACTAACTGCACGCATTAACACACTGTTGACTCGGCCAATCTCGTTCTTATGCCGATACTAACCTGTCGGAAACACGAACCGCATAGCAACTCACGCGCTCTCCAACGCGTGCCTTTGGTTCGGTCTTCCTAGCAAACTGACCACTCTCGACAACCTGCTCCGAACACATCATAAACTTTCAAGTCTTCACTGTCTGCTGGCTACTGCTATTAAACGTGTGAAACATATTTTACGTAGGTATAGTCGGTCAAACTTTCTTAACCGCCATGCGGTTTAGGAGCGCAACCAAGAAGAACATAGCAAACAACGAGGAGTCTGTGGTGAAGTGTATCTCACCAATTGCCCGGGGCGGATGGCCACTGCATGCGTGAAAGACAATATGGACATGTAGCAAAAGTGGACTGACGACTCTACGCTGAAATGCCGGCGGCGAATAAAACTTTCGGATGCCGAGAGCCATCTATTGTCATTCATAAGAGAACTGAGGAATTTTGTGTCACAAGACCACAACGCGGCTCTTCATCCAGCGAGGATTGCACGATCCTTCAAAAAGACCAACGGGATACGAACCTTCCCGTGAGCGGCATGATCAGTAGACCCGAATCGCATTGGGAATCTAAGACTGTTTTAAGATAGACATCAACCAGTTAGGGTCTATGCCCAACTTGAGATGCTCAAAAGTTGCTGCAATCATAAGCTGGGATAGAATACCCCTTGAACTCGTTAATCCGTTGACCGAAAGTGTGCCACAGAGGATTGACGACGTGGTGGCGGCACGCGATGGAGAAGGTAGGTGTAATATACGAAGGTGTACGATAACTACCTCCATCGTTTTCATCTCAGGTCGTTATCGAATACACAATTTCCCTACCAAGCGTAAGTATTTGGGGGCACAAGCTCGACGTCATTCGGGAGGAGCACTTTTAGACGGTATGTGTACACTAAATTTTCCACCACTTGTCCTCGACAGCCGTGTTCAAACTACATGAAACAATCAGATATCACGGACATGTTTCAGTGTCCTTGAACAGTTTGTCAGTTTTAACGATCTGCAAATTGCACAGACAACAATTCCTAAATACTTTTCGCGAGACAGCTGTTTAATCACACTTGGCAAAATATGATCGTTAAAAATATGCCGTTTTTGACTCCCATGTGTTCGGTCTGCCGAACAAAGACATGACAGATCGACCATCGATTTCGATGATGTCCACCGTGTGCCCCACAGCTGCAGCAGCGGTGAGAGCAGGGACGGTGACTTGCGCAGGGGTTTATAAAGCCAGTAGATTTGCGCTGCATCTACCTACACTCTCTCCTCCTCCCCCGCCTGAACCCGGTGTCAAGACAGAGTCAAGAAGACCGGAGACGAGGGAGGCCGCAGGTGGAGGGCTCGGACGGATCCTCACCTTAGCGTTCCACCACACCCCCTGGTCCACACAACAAATAACCAGGATTTTAACCAGCACAACAGACAATAGAGGCCGGCACGACCGAAGCCGCACCTAGGCGTGCCGTCAACGCCTGGCTCGGATCCCACACTGTGGTGGGAGTGCCATAAAGGCCACATTAAAAAGGAGCCATTGCAGCCTGACTCTCAGACAGCCTCCCGTCAAGGAGGAGGTCCAAGTTACGCCGTCAGTTGCCAACCTTCCAAGCCACGGCTTTTAGCGCACCATGATAGCTTCAAGCGCGTCAGATTGTTTATAGTGAGGAGAAAGTGCGCTGAGTCGTCGACCTCACTCTCCCTTCCCATTCCCACACCCCAGCCGCTGTCCGAGCCGGTCAGCAGACTGGAGTGGGAAATGGGCGCGGTGGCTGTCATGGTCGACTGACCATGACTGCGCGCGCCACGGCACGACCTGGCCCCCCATACACACAACACTAGGATTTCACACAACGGGGCTTGAACGGCGTGTCTCTCACTTGCGTGAGAGTGCCGTGGAAGGTGCTGTTTCAGCCCGTCCCGAGCCCACGAGTCCGCCACTCCACACAACACACACACACACACACACACACACACACACACAACGCGACGAACTGCGTGAACCGAGAGCAGGCGTCAACCAGCAACCTTCCTATCTATGACGCTTGACGTGTCGGGATAGTCTCGGACTCAAGTCACCCGTGCAGCCGAAGCCGCATGGGGACCGAGTCGAGATGCACACTTCCCACTTGCGTGGGAGGTGGCAGTTGGGTGTATGAGGTGTATGAGTGTTGATATCTCGTGGGGTGGTGGTGGTGGTGGTGGGAGACAGGGAGTGAGTGAATGTGTGGTGTGGCCGGCGGTTGTCTACCGCAGGTCGCCGTGGATGCGCATGTGGCCGAATAGGCCCATGCGATGCCTGAAGGTGCGAGGGCAGTGTGGGCAGTTGAGTCGAGCGTGGTGGGTATAGTTTGGTGCTCCAGGCACTGGCTCGCCAGTCTCTGTGCGATGGATTCGTAAGTGACCGACCAGGCTGATGCGTGAGGTGAATGTGCGTGAACACTGTGGGCATGAGAAGTCGGCGGTGTCAGTGTCAGCTACAGAGGAGGCGGTGGTGGCGCGGACGGATGGAGCGGGTGTGGGGGTGCGCACGGTGGATGTGGTGTGTGTGTCGGGAGTGCGGTCATTGCCGCTCTCGTGGATGCGCATGTGGCCGAATAGGCCCATGCGATGCCTGAAGGCGCGAGGGCAGTGTGGGCAGTTAAGTCGAGCGTGGTGGGTATACGTTGGTGCTCCAGGCACTGGTTCGCCAGTCTCTGTGCAATGGATTCGCAAGTGACCGACCAGGCCGATGCGTGAGGTTAATGTGCGTGAACAGTGTGGGCATGTGATGTCGGCGGCGTCAGTGTCAGCTACGGAGGAGGCGGTGATGATGGTGGTAGTGATGGGCGCACAGGGCAATGGAGCGAGGGTGAGACTGGGTGTGGTGGATGTGCTGGGTGTCGGGGGTGTGTCAGAGTTGCGGTCAATTCCGCTCTCGTGGATGCGCATGTGGCCGAATAGGCCCATGCGATGCCTGAAGGTGCGAGGGCAGTGTGGGCAGTGAAGGCGATTGCGGTGGGTGTAGGTTGGTGCTCCAGGCACTGGCCGAACAAAGACATATGATTAACTAGAAAAGGTGCACTGAGTCCGTACTGTGGCCCCCAGGCCTAAACCGGCAAGTACCGCTGGGCCTACTAAACATAACAGAAATGTTTCCGGTTTCCGAAAAAAATCTTAATTCGTCTGAGAAGACAGAGAAGTGACTTACCCCGAAGATTTGCTTTTTCGCTCTTTGTGAGCGCTTCCTCTAGACGACCTAGGTCGGCCAACTTCCGGCGAATGTAATTATGCACCATGTTAAGAGACGACCTGTCTAACTGCAAAAGTTTGCCTCGCATAATGAAGACTCTGAAGGAAAACAAGAACAAGAAGAGGTGGAGGATGCGTCTCAGAAGTCGTACAAGAAACAAGAACGACAAACCGGGCAAAAACAGACTGCATAAATGTCCGGTCGAATTGTGAGTCAGATGACGGAAGATTACTGCAACTATGCGTAACGTGATCATGGTGGAAGGGCGAGAGCAGTCAGAAGGCGGAATGAATGTTGACAGAACCAAAGGGTGGTTTACTACGAAACGGTGTTAGATCTACGAAAAACATGGACTGCTGTTATGCGGTTAAAATGCAAGAGAAGATGGGAATTGAGTAGTTTGTCTGGTGGAATACTATCTAATCAAAAGAGGCATTCACTTGTAACTCAAAAAAACAGAAACTGTCATGAAGAGTGTGCGTGACGGTGAAACTTGCTGTCAGCATGGTTTAAACTCCCGTTAGTATCGGGCGAAGACAGAGGAGAGATTACTAGGAATCAATGGATTACGGTCAGATATGGATCCCACAATAGACTGGAGCCCAAAGAAGAGAAGGCGGTCGCATAAGAACTTCTCATGTAGCTGGAGTTACAAAAAAGCACGCAATGAGAAGTGGGCGTCCAGTTCCATGTGTCCGGAACTGCATATGCCGCGTTTTAACTTTCTACAAATGAATACTATATTTTACAATCTCGTTAGTGACTGACTAACTGAACTGTGAAATTCCGAGCAGAAAAACCAGTCTACACTGGCTCTGCAAATGCAAATGTTGAGTTCGGATGGGGAAGGTCTATAACAAAATACGTTCATTAAAACTCCAGTCAAACGGGGCTCATGAAGTTAAGAAACATCGGCTACTAGTGTGGAGTATTTAACACACCAAAAATGTGTAAAAGGTTGATATCGCCACCCTTAGTCTTGTATGAAGGCTCAATGCAAGTAACATTTAACAATACCATAAAGTTATGGAAAATAAGGTCAATTACATTTAGTCGCGTTAGTTTCACAATTTAGAAGCTGGACAATGAAGAAGACAACTCCGGATAAAATCGGAAATAAATAATCCAACATATTCAAGAAAACGAAATATTTTGGCGTCAGTACACAGAAAAAATTACAGTGACCACGAAGGCTCCTTGTAGAACCCAAATCGAGCGTGAATGTCCCGGTGCAACTTCCACATACAAACCGTTAATGAAGTTAAACTCACGGAGACCGTCAGGGAGCCAAACTAGGTCTAAAGGGATCAAGGTTCCACTCAGTCAGGAAAAGCACGAAAGTAATTTCATGTCAATAAAGGGACAGCCTAGACTCGTTGACCAGCTAGAATGAGAAACAAAAGTTATGCAAGCTAACATCCGAGGGCATTGCCTTGAGCGAGGTTTCCGGTGTGATTGCAGAACATACCCAAAATGACAAGGAGTTTCTAATTTTGTACAAATCAACAGGTATGGCTAACAGAGAATCGCAAAGCGGGAACTCGAACCCGTACACTGTTGAACAAGACGATGCTCCATCCACTATGTCATGAGAGCAATTTATGGGAATAAAGTACAGTACCTGTTTGTGTCGCATAAATCTTCACTTACACTTCCCATCTTCAGACGATGCGATCGCCCCCAACATACAGTGGATGATGTAATTCGTTGAATGTCGTGATCGAAATGTAAATAGGTGTTACTGCATACAGTTGGCGTTGTTATTTATGCTTGTTGGATAGATTCGATGCGCATAAAGCCTTTTACTGAGGAAGAATTTATTTCGAATCCGTTGTATGGGGAAAAGCATGCTAGGTTTAGACGAAATCGGACATTTCCTGACATTTGAGTAATCTCCTATGCTACTGAATACTACAACTCAAAATCTCTTGGTTGTGCGCGTTATTCTGTATAAGAACACTTAAAATGACATGAAATGTCTCAAATAAATCCATTCTGAAACTGAAAAGTCGGATTTTTGTGTCAAGCAATGTCAGGTGAAATCGAGTATGAGAAATTGTAATTGTTTCCAAGAAACAAGGGGAGAACTCAGTTTCTAAGATTATTTTTTTGCAAATTTGCCGTGTTTTGTGGCAAAACGCAGTAATAAACTTGTTTGGCGGTACTTTGCTCTACCACACCGCGAAAAATAAGGCGTCAACAAATATATATCGAGTATCCGCTACATGCTGTCACTTTTCTGTGTCACGCCATGCGACAAAGATGTCAAAGCAGTTCCTATCGGGCGTTGATTTGGTGCAGATATGGAAATCGGCAGCCCTTCGGCTGCTGCGTTAGACGCCAGCTAATATTTTGATTATCAGCCAGGTTAATCTATGGAGAACTATTAATAATAAACAAAGCCTAGAAGTAACCAAGGTTGACCAAAAAGGGTCACAAGCAAGCAAAACGACGATTTTATTTGTCGTGCACTAAAAAATGCCGTCATACATCCCTCAAAACCATCCACAGGGAAAACTGACCAATGTTCCCTCTGCGAATGATTAGAAAAAGGATGAAGGAATTCTGCCTCCACCAGCAAACGCTATCACAAGAATATTTTAAAGTAGGGACTTATCAGAGGACATTCTATACTTGCTCAAGAGTATGTTGGTCATATACGTTCATTCAGGAAGAGGATTTTTGTGTGATGAGGTCCCATTGTAAGAAGAGCCTCCGAAGTCGACCCAGGTGCTCATATGTGGGAAGAACGTCCCCCGAGAACACACTGTAACGACAAATTTCGAGAACTGTCGGCGCCTGACGGTTCGGATGGTCCTCAAATTTGGAGAGTTAATAAATAATAATTAACAAACTAAACTATGCCTTCTTTCGAGGAAGGGGGTTTTGATTTAACGTAGCATAACTTTCGTGGACGCGAGGTAGACGGCCTGTGTTGTATAAGGGTTTTTATGCGAGGTGCGTGACCTTTCTCCTATAGGTCACGAGATGTATAAACGCATTGTAAAAGGACCAATATTAGGAGAATTTCATATTTTCGCATATAGGTTTATCCCTCACGCGATAAACGTCAGCGCCAAGTCTCCCTTGTCCCGTTTTAGTAATACGTAGTATCGCATTTTTACTCTTAATTTCTTTCGATGACTGGTTTGGTGGGTCACTCTAACGCTACGTAAAGTGAGCGGTAAACACCTGTAACCACCGTTTGCTGATTTAAGGGTATATGACACATAGGGGATACTAATGAAAACTATCTGATCGCTGTACCAGTAAGATAATTCGGGCGAATTTGAATTCAAATGCGACGTGCCACGGGCGAGGCGTGTGTCTTGTTTATGTGGACTGATGATGCAAGCATCCATAATGTTCGGCAACGATACGCCAACAATAATGCTATCGGTCGAAAAGCAATAAAACCGCATGCAAAGGCAAAATAAGGTCTTGCCTTGTTTAATTTCCGAGGAAATTAATGCGCGAACATGGAGTAACTCTTTCAAAACAGGCCTTTTCAGGCACGGTCTGCTGAGGACTGCAACAACCCAGCCATAGAAATCCCACTGAACACAAGTATATCAGGAGTACTGCTAAAACTGATAAAAGGGCAAGTGCTGTGATGAAATTGCAAATGAAACTACGGTTGACTTAAATGTTGTGTATCTGAATTGAAATGTTAGAGAAACAGGAAGGAACGAACGGTAAAAAGGCCTGGTTACTCGGTGTGCGACGGCGATTATTCAAAAATAATCAGACTGGGCACAGAAAACCAAGGACGTGAAGACTAATCAAGTAAGAAAAGAAAAGTTTGGAGAAACTCCCAGAAGTCGCGCATATAGTAATATTGCCCGTCATATCTACAAGTGTAGTGGTACAAGTTAAAAGCCTCGCACAAATCGTCAGTCACAAGTCAAACGCTTCAGAAGTTATAACAGACATAGTGATGGAAAACAGAAGCTAAACCAAAGTCAAATTGTGTTTCAAATCGATAGCTGCTCTAGTCAGGTTAAGCCTCTCATTAACAACAAATAAAGGATGCGAGGGATGCTATAGGAATAAAGGGGTAAAACAACTGAGACATGCAGTGCCAAATCAACTAATATGACCAAATTGCTAACTAAAATTTAGGAGTAGCAAAGGTCGTTCTGACTGTAAATATACCAATATACCAATAAAAAGTTAAAAGTCTGATATGAACAGGCAACTAGGCAAACCAAAAACCACTGTCATCGCCGCATACTAAGGTCAAACTTACGTTTTCTCGCACGTCGCAATTTAAACCACTCCATGAAATCGTTCTTGACAATTATCTCACTTCACCCGATCTTAAGTAAAACTTCCCTTTGGGCTCACCAATATGGCTGGATATATAATGTTAGAGCCAGTCGAAACTGCAGTAAAAGAGCGATAGCAAACCCGAGCGAATTATAATAAGCTTGTCAAAACTTCAACAAATCGATAATAAAATAACACGTTCTCGTTAACTCCTTCATATTACTACTAAAAACTCGATAAAACTACTTTCTATAGTTATATCCCTGACGTCATCGCTCATCATAGCTCTGCGCACTGCCTAGCCATGTACGTCAGGTTAGGCTGTAAGAACAATCGTGCCGTCCCCAGAACTGTGCAGAGTTGTTCGAATGAAATGACACTAGGAACGCAGATCGAGGATGAAGATGGTGTGACCGCGTGTTGGCGAAAATAGCCGGCGTTCTGTCCTAACATCCTCTCCGACCTCCTTCCCACCTTTACCGCAGTTAACGTACCGTATTTCCCATTTCACGTCGGCACTTTCCACGGCCCAACCCCGCAGTTTCCGACAGCGTTGCACTTCCCACCGGTTGTTTGATATATTGGTATCACCTCGCCATCCAGACGGATCGCCCGCTTAGCCCTTAAGGCACAACGGAACGAGTGAGTTCCGAATGAACGATCGGTGAGCGCCCTCTAGCCCCCGGGGCTAGGCGGGGCTATTGCTAGCAGGGTAAATATCCCAATATATACCCATATACCAATATACATATATATACATATATTACTTTTCTTACTCCCATTTTGGGTAACATCGATGACCCGTTTAACAACTCCCTTCAAATCAGTATTAGTCAAGAGTTATATATATTGCTCCACGTCACCTCCAGTGTGCTACCCTCAATGTATTCGGCCGCTGCAGTGCTGGTGACATATGACAAACATGTGTCTCGTGTCGTAAACCACCATGCAGATTTTGATCGCAGGAATACACATAAGGGAAATTTGACATTCTGCATTTCACTCCCAGCCAATTCATATTGAAATCAATAGCAGCACTATTTTCTCGAAGGTAATTTAATGAATACTATATGCACCACTGTTGCTCTGAAATTTTCCGTACGCGATAGAATAGCACACATACCTGTCGGGCCTTCGGAGGTCCATGGGCTGTGTCTTCAAGGAAGCCAATATGGCAAGATCGCGAGGTGTTTTGTTGTTCCTTATCATTGTTTGGATTCCAATGGCTTTACAAGGAACATCTGGCCCTGAAATCTCCTGAAACGGGAGCTTAAACGCGCATAAACCCACTCGCCGGCCTTGGAACAACGATACACCCAAGGTCCCGTTTCATAACCGCAACACCAACAAAAGACCAATAAGCACATCACTCAGACGGAGTCCAAAAACGGTAAGAACAAGTTATCAAAGATAAAGTTGAAGAACGTCCTGGGGAAACGTAAAAAACATGAAATTTAAAACTTATATGCAAACATAAAGCCTAATGTGGTGTCTTTTGGCTTGTCCCCCACAGAAATGTCTAATCACCGACACGGCTAACGCTGCTGGAGATCCCGAAATCTGAGCAGTTTTGACTGTAAATCTGTCGGCATGTGACGAGAGGCCTAGATTACTGACAGAGGTTAAACCGTAATCTTCGATGGCAGAACATTCGGTCATATAGATCCCTTTAAAACCAATGTTAATGATGGCCTTACAGGTCCACAACACATTTAGATTGAGAGGACTCCGTGAGCCATTTTTAGTTCATCATTGAGATAGCAAGCAAGTCGGCATAGATTTGCTCCAGTCAATGTTGGCTCACCGATTTTATGGGTGAATACACGCATATAAGATCATCTGCATAAACAGAAGATTGAGAATGTTAAGCTGCCGACGAGATATCATTAATGTAAAACAAAACAAAAGAGCACCTAAAACGGCGTCTTGGAGGACACCGCTACAATACGACTCGCAATGGAGGATGAGAATCTCACTAACAGCATCTGTTCTCGTTCAAATAGACATGACAAGGCATATAAATGGAACCAATCAGGTATCGGATGAGCCTAGAGAACACGACGTCCGCGATAACGGTGTAATGCTCGCAGCAGTAACAAATGCAACGGGAAATTCGGCTGGTGCAAAACTGAGGTGCTTGTACACGAATGCCCAAATACTCATGTCGAAATAAGACGACCTAAATATTTGCCTCGCCGAACTGTCGCCGGATGTTCTAGCAGTAACCGAGACCTGGATGTCCGGGAATATTAGCGATAACGAAGTAGCCTTGCCTGGATACCAAATTTATCGGAGGGACAGGGAACATCGTCAGGGTGGTGGTATCGTTGTGTATGTGAATGACGGTCTGACAGTGTCGGATAACACCACCAAGTTTGCGTGCAGTACGGAAGCTATCTGGTTGACCATCAAGGCTACTGGCTCTTCGTGTCTCGATGTCCTCACTGTCTACCGACCACCTAGGACAGACCGAATCGCCGACACTCAACTATTGGAGCAGTTAGAGAAATTTCCCAGTCGACCTAACATTAGGATCATGGGCGATTTCAAAGTACCAGTAATAAACTGGAACACCCTCCAAGTGTCAGGTCCAAAATCGACATTCGACTACGGCTTGCTGAATTAAACATTAAAGCCACCCCTCACACAACATGTTATGTTCCCAACGAGAACACGTGAAGGAAAAATGGCAAACTGCCTGGATTTGGTTTTACGAAAACACCAGAGAGCATAGGAGAGAGCACCTCCATGCCGTTCCTTGGCCGAAGTGATCACGTAGTGCTTATGTGGGATTATTCGTTTTTCTACATTTCGCATACTCCAGACCAAAAAAGACGTAATGTTTGGCGGGACGACTTCGATCAGATGAGGGCAGACTTATCCTGTCTCGACTGGGGCTTCTTGTTTACGGGAAATGCCAACGAAGACTGGAAGCTCTTCAAGAATGGCCTTCTGCAGCACATCAATAACCACTGCCCACTGAATAGTGGAAGACTGAACAAACGCCCTAGGTGGCTGAATAGCAACCTTAAGAAAACAATCAACGTGAAGCACAAATTGTGGAGGAAAGACTGCGTCACTAGGCCAGTTCAATATTTCAACACTTACAAGACACAGAGGAACAAACTGAGGAACCGAATCATGAAAACGCGGCGGGAATGCGAGAAGAATTTGCTGCAAAAAGCAACGCAGAACCCAAAATTACTCTACAGTTACCTCCGACGAAGTAGAGTGAACAGACCTCAAATCCTCTTAATAAGGACTACTGATGGCTTTGAGATCGCTGATAGTAGGGATAAAGCTGCGTATTTTTCACGGTTTTTCCAATTAGTCTACAGAAACGAGGCAAGGTTCCTTCCTCCCTCCACAGAAGAACTGCCGACTCCAAGCGTCAGTGATGTACTTTTCTCAGAAGACATTGTCCGAAGAGAATTAGTGGCATTTGACGAATCGAAGTCGACAGGACCAGATAGGATTCCACCAAACTTCCCAAGGAACTTGCCAGTGAGCTCTCTGTGCATTTGTCGACGCACTTTTAAACATCATTTGACACTAGAACACTTCCTATCGATTGGAACCTGGCGCATATTACTCCGCTACACAAAGGAGTTAACAGGACGGCGACAACAAATTACAGGCCCATAAGCTTGACATGCATTCTCTACAAAAATATGGAAAGGATCATAAAGTGTGAACTGATGCATTTCCTGGAAGTTCGCGACTTCCTATCGAACTGCTAACATGGGTTCCGGAAAGGAAGATCCTACACGACAAACTTGCTGCAATCTCTCCAGAGCTGGACCCGAGCTCTCGACGACGGACACGCAGTCCACATAGCCTTCATCGACTTCCAGAAGGCTTTCAACACTGTGCCACACCAAAGGCTCTTATATAAGCCGAAAAAAATAGGGATCGGTGGCAACTTCCTGAAATGGATCGAAAACTTCCTTGTGGGTCGACACCAGGTTGTGTGCGTCGGTCGGGGAAAATCAGATCCGGCTATGGTCGAGAGTGGTGTCCCCCAGGGTTCAGTTCTGGGACCCATTTTGTTCCTTATCTATGAGGACGATGCCGCAAGAGATTTAGACTGTGAAGTAGCAACGTTTGCTGGTGACATGAAGGTATGGAGTGTAATTCAGGGTCCTGCCGACGGAGACAGACTGCAGATGAACCTGAATCGGTTGGAGGAGTGGTCAAACCGTTGGCTCCTGTTGTTCGACGTTGCCAAATGTAGCATACTTCGCCTAGGCAACACAGCCAGATCCGCCAGCACAAGAGGCTACTTTCTGGGCGGTGCAGCCCTACAAGAGGTCGAAGCCCAAAAGGAGCTCGGTGTGCTGACGACGAGTTCCCTAAAACCATCCGCCCAATGTCCGAGGGTGGCAAAAAGTGCAATGTCCGTACTGTACGCCATCAAGCGTGCGTTTATGGACTTTGACGAAGAAGCCTTCTCTAAGACATTCGGAGCATTCGTCCGACCGCATTTAGAGTATGGCATACAAGCTTGGAGGCCGTGGGCTGTTAAGGATCAAAACTGCCTCGGAAGAGTCCAAAGGAGAGCCACGAAGATGGTTAGTGGTCAAAGCTCCTTTCCTTATGCGACCCGCCTAGTAAATCTGAACCTCTTTCCTTTGAGTTACAGGCAACTTTGCGGTGATCAATTGCAAGCCTTCCGCATTGTAAAGGGGTTAGATTGCAGTCTGACCTTCGAGGACCTTTTTGGATTTGTTACCACGACCAACCTCTGAGGTCACCCGTTAAAACTGCACACTCAGCAGGCACGAATGGATGTGCGGAAGTTCTCCTTCTCGGTTCGAATGGTCAAATCATGGAATGAGCTTCCCGCAGGTGTTGTGATGTCACCATCTATACAAAGTTTTAAGAAGAATCTGGACATATTTATGTTCCGAAATGTCCA